AGTAGAGTGGGAGATTCTGTTCAGCTATTCCTCAACAGCATGCTGAGTAGATGCCCTAGGTGATGAGGTACCGGGTGTGACAGGGAGGGCAGCAGAAACTAGGAGCAGTGGAGTTCTTAGAGGGATGGAGGGGAGGCAGTATTGGGGTTAAGTTGGGCTCAAATGGTGAAGGTCTTGAATGCAGGCTAGAGCACACACTCTGAACCCAGCAGGTAGGAAGAGGTCTGGGAGTTTTAGGACTGTGACTTGCTAACTACATCATTTTAGAGGGCCATTGGGAGACCATGTTGTCTTGCTGGAGGCAGTGAGGGCCACAGTGAGGGTGATGTTCCGTGATTTCTCTCTTAAACTGTCATGTATCGGACTTAGAGTGGGAAGAGTAGATGGGACACCGAGGAGGCATGGGGCTTACTCTCTCGTGTAGGCAAGAGGAAGACGTAAGATTGAACACTTTACCCCAACCTGGGATGGCCAGTTGAAAGAATGGCGGGAATGTGGTTCTAGGGACAGTCAGTGGAGCATTGGGGAGGGGGGAGCTGGCTGGCTGAGCCTCTTTGGAGTGGGTCCAGGCTGTGTTTCCTCCCTTTGCACACTGGTGAGGGAAGGTGAGGACTGAGGTGCGTTACGTTGTTACCAGACTACACTTGAGGTGCTGTGGAGCAGCAGTCAGTATGCCTGACATAACTCCACACCTGTGTTGGGTTGTGAAGTCTGTAAAACACTGAGTGGGTAAGTTTTGGAGAATAGCCAGGGAGGGAAGGGGAGGCCACTAAAAAGTCAGTTATTCACGTTTCCACTTCTTAATCATCTTTTTAATTTAACTAACCAAAACCATATACATATATTATGCATATGTGTGTGTCTGCATTGTGTATGAGTCTCTGTCTCTGTGTGTATGTGGTTTTGTTTTTGCTGTTTTGGTTTTGCCTTTATTTTTGAAACAGGGTCTCACCATTTAACTCTGGCTGGCCTGGTACTGTGATCCTCCTTTGCTTTCAGAGTGCTGGGATTAAAGCTATACACTGCCCCATCTGGCTTAACATTGTAGATGTCTATGGTATACACCATGATACTTAATACATGTATGCGGGGAGAAATGGCTAAATTAAGCTAATTAACATGTCTGTTACTAATGATATGCTGACACTGTATGGTGAGAACATTTAAAATCCATTCTCAAACACCTAAGAACAGTCACCATTTTGTAAATAGGCTTTTTGGTCTTATCTTTTGTCTAATAGAAGTCTGACATCCTTTGACAAACACCTGCCCCTCCCCTGCCCCAGCCTCTTTGCTGTTTGACTTTTTTACATTCTATGAGGCATTTGTCTTTCTGTGTCTTTATTTTGATTAACACAGTCTCTATCAGGTTCATCCATGTCATTGCTGATGGCAGAATTTCTTGTTTTAAAAGCCGAAAAGTACTGTAGTGTGAGCATGTGTGCACACGTGTGTGGGGTGTGTATGTGTGCGCACGGGCGTGTGTGCATGCACGCGAGTGCGCATTTGTCTCCTACACTTTCCCCACTTACCTTTGACACTTAGGTGGGCTCCCTCTCCTGGCTACTGTGGACAGTGCTGTGGTGAGCATTCCCTGTCATTCATCATCATTTTAACAGCCTTTTGGAAGAAAGTGCCTGTGGCTGGAAGTAAACCTTGAAAGACAGAAAGGTTTGTTATTAAAAAGTACATGATCTGTTAGAGAAGTCCCTAGGGGAGTGAGTAGCAGGGCATCTCAGTTTCGCTGGTCAGTCATGCTAGGATTCGGGCTTATGGGAAGCCAGCCATCCTCTGGTCACATTCCCCGTGGCAGTAACTGGCAGTGTCATTTCCAGCATAGCCTTAGTGCCCTGAAAATTGTCCTGTCGAGTGTGGAGCTTAGGAACTGTGAAGTCTGGAAGAGAGTGGGCTTGGCTCAGGAGAGATGCTGATCTTCAAAGGTAGGAAGGATGCAGTCCTTGGATAAGGTCTCCCATTGTGAGCCATGTGAGGAAGTTACTCGACTGTTAAAGGTGTTTCTTCTGCGAATGGAATGGTGTATATATGTGCTCATATTTGTTGGTGTGAACCAGGTTAAACAGGGAGGGTACAAGCACAATCGTGCCACAGCAGATGTGTGGAGGTCAGAAGACTATCTGGAGTTTTCCTTTCCTCCCTGTTGAGGCAGGCTCTCCTGCTGTTTCTGCCATCTTGTGTACTCCAGGCTAGCATGCCTGTGAGCTTCTGGGTAACCCTGTCTGTGCCTTCCATCTTGCCATGTAATGAGTGCCGCCAGGCTCTTTACATTGGTTCTAGAAACTGAACTCAGGTAGTTCAGTCTTATACAACTACTGCTTTTACTTGACGAGCCATCTCTCCGGCCCTTCTATACATATTTCTAATTCCTAATCCTTGCAGTGATGTTAAGAGTATAGGTGTGGTTATGGTCTGCATTGTTACGGATGAGGTGCTGGAGAGCTTAAGAAATGTGTTTGAGACTATCTGCAGGTCAGTGGCAGAACAGTCTGCTTGCTGACCACTGGTGCTTCACCCCTGCAAACCTTCTTCATTGCTCTCCATGGCCTCATGAAATAGTGACCAGGTTGATGCTGTTGCAGCAAGGAAGTGTTACCCATACCATACTCAAAGTAGACAGAGTTCTGTAAATGGCGGCTGCTGCCACAGAAGGTTGAGTGCAGTGTCCTAGGGTAGCTATGTTTCATACTTTCACTGGCTCCAAGCCTCCTGGATCCACTCTTGCCAAGAAACCTGTGTTGAAACCCCCTGCTGGCCTTCCTTCCTCTGCCTGCCCCCATACATCACCGCAGTCTCTCTAGTCACCACACACTCCTGCCACTGCCACTGTGATGCCCCAGTCTTTGGGATGCTCTGAAGCTTCAGTTTCCCCAGCTGTGACACTTTTCCTCCAAGCGCCCCTGCGGTCCCCCGTATGGCAGTAGTCCACTCCACAGTGACTGTGTGAGAGTCTCGTTCCCAAGTTTCAAATATATGGCCTTGTACACAGCAGGCACCCAATGTATTTGCTCATTTCATGCTAAGCTTTCTAGAAAACCGTGTGCCACCTTGCTGTGTGCACAGCTAGTTCAAACCTGCCATTTTTACATTAGACAAAGATGATTGTTCTATTCTGCCTTTCAGTCCAAACCAAATTTCGCCATAACAGAAGGGCCTAAAGCCTTGAATGTGGGGTGCCGAGGGTCTTGCATGTCCTCTGCATATGACAGCTTTCACAAGTTCCTGGGAGGCTGCCCCTCAATCACTTGCTGCTGGGAAAGCTCATGGCATGTTACCCCCCTTCCAGGAGGTGGAAAAACAAGCTCAGAGCCCCACACACCCTGCACTGCTGCCCCCACACACAGTGAAGTGAGGCAGCCCGGGTCTCTCTACCACTGATGTTTTAGCAACCTATGGTCCTTACTTACATAGCATCCACAGTATCACAGCTGGGCTGTTCACACAGCCAGACAGGGGCCCTGTGGGTGTACCTCTATGGTGCAGCCCAGTCTTACTCACAATTACATGCTTGTGAAGACAGCATTTGAGAGAATTAAGATTTTGAGTTCTTTCCATTTCCTAGCCCTGTTAATCATTCTTGGAGAAGTCATGATGTTATAAATTTCATTAGAAGTATAAATCACAAAAGAACAGTTCCTTGACCTCAGCAGTTTATAATCCATGTGAGTCATAAATAAAAGCAGCATGAAATAAAACAAAATTGCTAAAGGTGATGGAGATAAAGAGAGCATTGGAAAGTGAAAGGCTCCATTTAAGTTGAGCGATATTTTTCATAGGAGGCAAAGCGCTTGGAGCAAAGAAAATGTAGACTTTTCTAATAACCTTACCATCAATCCAGAGGATATATCTTGAGTCCCTACTGTGTCCCAGGATCTTGGGGATGAGACTCCCAAGCAAGGAGTAGTTGCAGAGTGAATAACTGGTGTGGGAAAGACATATGGGAGCTCAGAGAAAAAGAGCCATTCCTAGGACACTGAGGGTTGCAGACCATCCCAAACACTGTTGTACCACAAGGGCATCTGCCTTATGGTTAAAAGCCTGTAGAGGTGGAGTGGAGAGGAAAGTAGAAGGCAAGTGTGGAGGAACCTGCAGCCAGTGACGATACAAGCATGGAAACACAGTGGGGAGGCAGGTGGTGATATTGAGTAGACTCACCAGAGCCAGGGTCACTATGTGATGGTTTCATGGTTGGCAGAGTTACAGGGTGAGTTATTTGTGGCAGTGAAAAGAATGTCCTTTGGGAAGTCTAAGCTAGGGGGTTGTTGGCTGACTCAATACATATTCAGTGGAAAATTGCAAATGAGGATAAGTACATGAATGAGGACCTGGGGGCCTTGCATTTGGGGCATAGCCAGGAGTGGCAGGAACCTCCGCCATACTGGACCTCAGATTGTGGATTGTCCTCTGCATTAGAACTTTGCATTGCTGTTCCAGTGGGAGCATCGGAGGTCTGCGGGCTGGCTTGGCATCCCAGAGACAGTCTTGATAGGATGTGGACACTAAGTTCCCAAGGCCCTCCTCAAAGATTCTGACCTGTTAGCATCCCTCATCCTATGCAAAAGTGGGGGTTCTGAGCCAGGGCATTTGGCTTCCTGCCTTGGGCCTTTTCTTTCTATTTTTAAATTTAATCTTATTTTAACGTGAATGGGTATTATGCCTGTCTGTATGCCTGGACACTGCATGCATACTATGTCCTCAGAGGCTGTAAGAGGGGACTGGGTCCCTGGAATTGGAGTTACAGATGGTTGTGATTGCAGTGTGGGTTTTGGAAATTGAACCCAGGTCCTGTACAAGAGCATTTGGTGTTCCTAACCTCTTAACCATCTCTCAACCACGTTGGCAGTTTTCTTAAGGCAGATATAGGAAGGAAACACTCTTAGAGTCTTTGCTCCCCAACACAAGACATGATTTCTGTCTTAGGAGTTGGTAAGATGGATAATTTTGCCCATTCTTATGTTGCTATGTCTCTTCTCTCTCATTTTCAGAGCCAGAATACCAAGTCTACCTGAATGCTTCTAAGGTGCCCGGGTTTTCAGATGACCCCACAGAACTGCAATGTCGGGTGGTGGACACGAAGCGTGTGGAAGCCGGTGTCCGACTTACCGTGTCATGGTACTACAGAATGAACCGTCGCAGTGATGAAGTGGTGGCCAGCGAGCTTCTTGCAGTCATGGACGGGGACTGGACTCTAAGATATGGAGAGAGGAGCAAGCAGCGGGCCCAGAGCGGAGAGTTTATTTTTTCTAAGGAGCACACAGACACATTCAGTTTCCGGATCCAAAGGACTACGGAGGAAGACAGGGGCAATTATTACTGTGTTGTGTCTGCCTGGACCAGGCAGAGAAACAACAGCTGGGTCAAAAGTAAGGACGTCTTCTCCAAGCCCGTCAACATATTCTGGGCCTCAGAAGGTAGGAACTTCTGGTCATTGTTCAGTTTTGTTTTAGTTTCTGAAGTCATCGTCTGTGTCTGTTTCAGTTACTGTCTCGCTCCACTCACACTGGAAATCTATGCTAATACTACTCGAGGGAGCTGTAGTCACCCCACAATCCTCTTTGCCCCCTTTAGACTCACTGCCCCTTCTCCTCTGTCCCCAAGAGGGAAGGGCCTCTGCAACTCACTGTCATTAGCAAAGCCTTGCATTTCCTGTACCACATCGTTTCTTTTTCTTCTTTTCAGCTGCCGACCTCCTCTCTGGGAGTGGTTGTCCCAGAGACCCACCCTCCTAAGTGATGCTGTTTTCTTCCACATTCCTTGCAAAGGAGTCAGGAACCTTCCTTGTTCCTCGGTGCAGTTTCTAGCCCCAGAAGTCCCCTCTGCATCTCCTTGCCCTCTTCTTCCTCCTTCTTCCTCATAGACCCTCTCCTATCACTAACTTGATTGACTCCTGGGTCTTCTGTTCATTTGCTGGAGATGCCACTCTGTTACTACTCCTATTTGGGCTAGCTTTATTGAAGTCATCCTGGGAGATTACAAAAAGCAAAGATCCCAGTAGAAATTATGTTGGAATTGGTCTGAGGTGTGTGCAGTCTGGATGCCGGTATTGAGTCTTCTCTAGTAGCCACCATGGAGAACCCTGGTGTAGGCAGGGCTTTAGTTGCCAGTCCCTTGTCTTCATGTCTCTGAGTTCTCTCCAAGTGTCACGCCCTCTGTCTTTTTGGTCCTTCATTCCCAATTCTGTACATCAGACCCGCTCACTTCTGATAGCTGAAACCCAACCCATCCATGAAGTTTCACACGCGTGGTTCTCTATGCACACAGTCTTTTTTGATTATTTCCTGTTGTGTTCCAGTCCTATTGATCCTGCCATCTGATGTGTCCTTTCTTCTTATCTGATCTTCATTTCTCTCTTACCATAAGTCCACCATGTACTGTACCTGTAGCCCTCCTTGATGTGTCCAGGGCCAAGGGGTAAGGAGAATTATATGGTCACCTACTGATATCTTAGCTTAAGGTCCCAGTCAGTCATGTCCCTCCTTTGCATCCTTAACTCTCTAGCCACTGGCTTGGTCTACCCTATATTCTACTTAAGACACAACCTGATTCAAAGCCAACTTTGCTGTCTCCTTGGCTGCATATGCAGAGCTAGATGCACTCGAAAGGAAGCAACATTCCAACAGTGGTCTGGTCTCACTTTAAATCTCCAATCCCTTCTGTCATGTGGGCTCTCAACATTTGAGAGCCATTCTGGTTTCCTTCATGTGTTTACTTCCCCACTCTCCTAAGTGATAATTGCATGCCACCTGCTCTCTCTGCAAACAGCCTCCACCAGCTTCTGGCCTTGCTTCTCCATCCCCTATAAAAAGAGAGTCAAAGGAAAACTTTATCTGCCATGCCCAGCATTGAATCTGTTACTTACCCTTATGTCTTAGCAAAGGTCAGCCCCTTTCACGGCTCAGGCATATGGCCCACTCCCTTTTGTCTTTGATCGTCCCCCACCTCTGGTCCTTTCCCACCAGCCTGTTAACATTGCTGTTAGGGAAACTAATTCTGATTTTGTTTGTTTGTTTTCTGTTTTGTTTTTCGAGACAGAGTTTATCTGTTTAACATCTTAGCTGTCCTGGAACTCAGACCTGGCTAGCCTCAAACTCACTGAGACCCACCTGCCTCTGCCTCCCAGGTTCTGGGATTAAAGGCGTGTGCCACCACCACCCAGTGTGCCCACCACGCTGTCCCTTTGTAGCAGTGGATTTGATTGAAGTATATTTAGTATCTCTAGTTTCTCCTCCATTTCTCTTTGTTACCTACTTTCCCCCTCACTGCACATGTTAAGATTGCCAGGCATCAACACACTACAGAAGCCTGCTGTCAGTCTTCTTCCCTCTAGAAATGCTTTGGCTTTCGCTTGGCTTGTGGGATGCCTTCCCCAGACTTGTTTCCATCCTCACTGGCTGCTGCATCTCGGCCTCCTTTGCTGCTTCCTGTCCATCCTCCCAGTTCCCATGCAGGAAACAACATCAGGACACAGTCCCTGAATTCCTATCTACCTCCCTTAACAGTGTCTTACACTCACCCAGCAGTGACTGACTCCCAACTCTGCATGTTTATCCCAGTATGTTCTAGAACTCCAGACTCAAGTGTTATGCTGCCTTCTTGCCTAGAAGACACCTCTCGGACTTGAGTCAGAAATGGAGCCTCTGGCCTCTGCAGCCTATCGTTGTCCACCTTTGGTTGTGGACCTAAACCTCTCCCCCTGATTCCTCATTCTTTTTATTCTGATTGCTTTGTTCAGTTTAATGTGCTAAGGATAGAACCTAGGGTCTTAAAAGCCTTATGCAAGCTAGCCACGCCCTGGGCCCTAACTTCCCCTTTTGGTTGTTGTTGATTGAGTTGTGGCCTTTTTGTTTTGAACTCCTGGGACTCCTGTCACTACCTCCTAAGTGCTGGGATTACAGACACCGCAGTGCCAGTTCTCACTCATTCCTGAGACTGATTTCGAGTCTGCTGTCCTCTCATGCCTCACTCCTAATGAGCCTGCTTTCTCTGACTTGTGTTTACATCACCTGCCCCTCTCTGGTCTCTTTGCACCCACCCTTAATCGCACCCTCAGCAGTTGGGCAGTGGTGGCACACGCCTTTAATCCCAGCTCTTGGGAGGCAGGTGAATCTCTGAGTTCAAGGCCAGCCTGGTCTACAGAGAAAGTGCCAGAACAGCCAGGGCTACACTGTCTCAAAACAACAACAACAACAAAACACACCCTTAGCATCCAGTCAGATCATGAAATTCCTCCACCCTGAACCTCAGAGTCCCCTAATAGACTGATCGCTTCCCTCACAGCTCTCCCCCTGCCCTTCCCGTGGTTCCCCTCACCAGCTGACAAGCTCTATAGCTCGCCATTTGCCTTCTCCTGCCTAGAAAGCGTTCCCACCTCCCTCGGTGCTTAGCCAAGCATCACCTTCTTAGTGGGACCTTCCTGGGCCACTCTGTCTATAACTCCACTCCCTTTCCCCATAACCAGTCCTACACTTCTTTTTTGTGTTTTTCTTCTGTGGTTGTTCTTACATTTCTACCACCTAACCACACTACATGTCTTATCTGTTTGTCTTCCTCTACTGGTACATAAAGTACCTTCAGGTTACTATTTCATCACTGGAGCCTATGATATGAAGGCTATCTGTAATATGTCTAATTCACCAGAGGGTGACCAGATTCACAGGGGAACCAAGAATGAGGGGCTGGCTCAGTGACACCAATTTCCTTCTCTCTTTATGTGTCCCATTGATTGTGGCCATATTGCACTCACTGGTGGGTCATCTGATTAAGAAGGCATTTCATGGCTGGGCAGTGGTGGTGCACGCCTTTAATCCCAGCACTCGGGAGGCAAAGACAGGCAAATCTCTATGTGTTGAGGTCATCCTCATCTACTCAGTGAGTTCAAGGACAGCCAAGGCTACATAAAGAAACACTGTCAAAAAAAAAAAAAAAAAAAAAAAATCCAAAACCAAATTTTTTTTAAAGGAATGGGCGTGTGGGCATGATTCATTTCATTTTTTAGTAGCTATTTGCATACCTTCCAAATGCCTGACTTTGCTAGTGCGAACTGGTAAAACCTAATTTATACACGCTTAGGGATTAGTGTTAGACAGAGAAGCCCAAAGAACATGCAAACCCACTGGTGGTGTAGTCATGGACATTGGCCAAAAATCTTAAAACCACATCTCTGAAGGTAAAAGTGCAAACCAGGTAGAAATGGCCACATCTGCAGATGCAATTGCATTTAGTGATGTATTGTAGGGGCAGACAGAGAAAAGCTATGCTGGCACATAAGTTAACACTCAGCAGAGAAGGCTATGATGTGGCTAGCCTAGCCTATTTCCCCTGGCTCCCTGAGTCTTGAGAGGCCCATAGCTTTCTGAGTTCTCTCAGTGAAACCACTCACGGACTGGAAATTTCACACTCTCACTGTCCATTACACCTTGGATCAATTCTGACTGCTGCTCCCCCTGTGGCGGTTTTCAGTCTGTGAACAGACACACTATTTTCTTTTGGAGGCTCCATGTTTTCCTTAGTATTATAGTGTGGCAAATTGCACACAAATCCCTATTTCCTGGATGCTGTGATTCTTTATTTTTAGGTGCATATCCATTTTAACGAAATCTGTTGGAAATGACCTCCTCCCTCTGATTCTTCATTCCAGATTCTGTGCTTGTGGTGAGGGCACGGCAGCCAAAGCCCTTCTTTGCTGCAGGGAATACATTTGAGATGACTTGCAAAGTGTCTTCCAAGAATATTAAGTCACCGCGCTACTCTGTTCTCATCACGGCCGAGAAGCCTGTTGGGGACCTCACCAGTCCCAATGAAACCAAGTACATCATCTCCCTGGACCAGGATTCTGTGGTGAAGTTGGAGAACTGGACTGATGCATCACGGGTGGACGGCGTTGTGTTAGAGAAGGTTCAAGAGGATGAGTTTCGATACCGAATGTACCAGACTCAGGTCTCCGATGCAGGGCTATACCGCTGCGTGGTGACAGCCTGGTCTCCTATTGGGGGTAGCTTGTGGCGAGAAGCAGCGACTAGTCTCTCCAATCCCATTGAGATTGACTTCCAAACCTCAGGTGAGCAGAGAACTCCATGAAGCCATAGATTGAACTGGAAGACAACCCTAACATTTTAATCTAGGGTCCTTATTATTTATTTGTTTTGTTTTTTGTGTATGTACAAGTGGTGTATGTATGTGGTTTATGTGCGCACATGTGTTTGGAAAGTGGAGGGTGTCAAGTGTCTTGCTCTGTCACTCTGCCTCCCCTTGAAACAGTTTCCCACTGAGCCTGGAGCTAGGGTGATGGCTAGAAAGCCAGCGATACACTGTCTGCACACCACCATCAGCACACACACAGTGCTGGGACCACAGGCTGTGGCCTCACCCGGCTTTTTATATGGGTGCTGGGGATTTGAATTCAGGTACTCATTATGAGGTAGCAATTACTTTATATACTATGGCGTCTCCCAAGCCCCTGTCCTTGCTTTTTCAAAAAGCTTGTGAAGTGGAATCCGTATGTCATTTAGCTTGTCCCTATAAGGTCTGTAATTCTGTGGCTTTTCACATATTCACGGAATTGTGTGACCATCAATCACCTTAGTCAATTTTAGAACATTTCTGTGGTGTCCAGATGAAACTCAGACCCCTTGATGAACAGTGTCCAGCCTCCCACCCCCAGTAACCACTCTGCTTTCTCTCTATATGAATTTTCCCATGTTGTATACTTCACACATATGTCACCTCGCTATCTGGCTGACTTAACTGTCACCCATGTTGCAGCATGCTTTACTGTCACCTTATCTTTTTGACTGAGTACTATCCCGTTCCATGGTTAGGTCACACTGTATCATTTCATCAGCTGATGGACAGGCAGTTCCCCACTGATTTAATTCTGTCATAAACACTCATGTGAAAATTGCTTGTTTATTTGAAATGTATTATTATATTTAAAAAAAAAAAAGGACAGGAACTCATACCTGAGTCCTTGGGGAACATAGTGGAGAGAAAAACCCGTGGCTGTCAAAGTGGATGGTCCAGAGTGGGAGCCTGAATCAGGTCTCATTTCATGGCTTCCAACTCCAAGACTGTAGGTGGTGACCACAGCTCTGGGTCCCCGTCACAGTACTGTTTCCTCCCAGGGATGACCCTCACCCTTTCTCCTCCCCTCACCAGAGTTGCTGCGGTGCTGTGTATTGGTGACTCTGTCAGCTTGGTTTGTTAAGAAGAGTTACTCGTGATATTATCTTTGGTGCTTATTGTTTCTACTCAGAAATGAGTTTACCCTTAGTGGAAATATTTCACACTTAGTGTGACTCACTAGGCCCGGACACACCTTCTTCTGTGTGTGTGTCTTTCTGTGGGAAGTCTCATTTCTGTGCCCAGTCTCATTTAGATGCTCCATGTGAAGAATTGTCCTCTGTGAATGTTAGACTAACAGTGCTCACTGTCTCCCTGCTTGCTACTTAGGGATTTGGGGGATTGGATATTTTTGTTTTGTTTTTTAAGTTGAGGATTTTTGAATGTATACATTTATGCCCATCTACAAAAGTTCTGTTACTAACTAAATCAGTATAACAAATGCAAGATGCTTTAGTCAAATCATTCACTTTTGGAGGTGGAGAGATGGTTCAGGGTGAAAAGCACAGAGGACCCATGTGTGGTTCCCAGCGCCCATGTTGAGCTTTTCATTCCTACCTGTAACTCCAATTCCAGGGAATCCAGTATTTTCCTGGTCTTTCTGGGCAGTTGCAGTCATGCACATATTAAAAATAAAATATGCCTTTTTAAAAAAGAAATTGTTAAAGCATTCATAACTGTAGGTAAGTCAGAATCTGCCTCGGGACTGCTGGGATTAAAGGCATGTGCCACCACGCTTGACTCTTGTTGAACATTTTGTCATCGAAAGGACTTATCCACTTACCAAATGATCCCCCCATATTTGTGTTTGTTGAGATGACTACGTGGTTTTGTCCTTTTCCGTATGTTTTTGTCTTACTATCTGCGGTGGTCAATTCTATCTTGTTTTACATTTGTTATTTGATCATTCGATTCAATTATGTGGAGGAGGGGAGATAGGAAGTCCCTTATATATCTCTGGGCTACGGATGGATATTGGGTCTATTTCTTAATTCTTTAAATCGCAATATGTCAGCTGGTAATCACTTTACTTCCAGGTTGAAAAGATTGCCTAAACACTGTATTCCATCTGTGGAATTGTCACAGTCTGTCCCCGTGTTAATTAGAAGCTGCCATGTGATTGACCAGCCTAATGCTAGAGCCCCAGATTGCCTCCCAGTAAACAAGAGTCTTCACTTCCTACTTAGGATCCATAGCGAAGAAGTCCTCCCTATACCCACAATCCTGTCACCTAATCTCCAGCCTTGGTCTCTTGTTAGTGGGTCTGAGTTTCCCAGGGGAAATCTACTAGATCATGGCTTTTACTGACCCAAGTGTCAGGGTTAAAATGAGATTTAAGCATGATGATGTAGGCATTGTCCTTTTAAAGGAGTCACAATTTTTTGTTTTTAATATAGAAATTTGTAAACAGAGTGAAAGCACTTGGAAGTTAGGAGCACTGGGCACTCTTCCCAAGGACCTGGGATCAATTCCTAGTACCCGCATTGCAGCTCGTAACTGCTTACAACTCCAGTCCCAGGGGAATCTGACACCCTTCTCTGGCCTCCATGGGAACAACACATGTGGTGCTCAGACATGCACGCAGGCAAATTGGCATACACTTAAGATAAAATTAAAATAGAGCCATGCCGTAGAAAGTAGAGCAGTCACACCCCCATCCTCACCCTGTCCAATGAAACACTGATTTAGGCTGTTCGGTTTTCTAGAACTTTTCCTCTGGTGTTATCTTCGTGACTTGGAAATCTTGACCGTACATAAAATTCTATGACCCGCTTCCTTTCCCTTTAATGTAAGATAATCCATTTTCCTGTTACAGTAAATGCTAGGTAGATACTGGCCCAGTGACTACAGTGTGTGGCATCAGGAGCAGATGGTTGCAGTGTTTGCTTGCATGAAAAAAAAAAAAAATGCCCTTTGAGCCTTTTTCTAGGGTGGGGATGGAATATGGTTGTGTCGGTGTTTGTATTTAAAGGTTAAGTGGTCCCTATACTGTCAGTCGACTAGGAATCCAGGGACCTCTCTGGCAGCTCACTGAATTCTCGAGTCTGTGGTCTGCAAAATTAACCAGACAAATTCCCTCACCGAACAGCAGTGCCACAAAAACTGACAATAGTGAAAATATTTCTAAATATCCCACTATTCTGGGATAATGACCATATTAACATCAAGCTATTGATTTCCTTAAAAGGAAATGCAGTACTGCGAGTTGTTCGCCACAATGAAGGCCTTCTTCCCCAGCCCTGTCTGCACTATAGGACAGAGCACAGACCCTCTCAAAACCCTCCCTTGGTTCCCACGGCAGCCACCAGTAGGGGAATGAGAGTTGTGACTTGTGACCCAGAAGGCATTTGGGGTTTTCTTTGGAAATACAAAGAAAAGTGACATTTGTTCAAATTAGGTAAGTCTCTCTTCATTGTTTCAAATAAGAAAAACACATAAATCAGTTGAGTATTTCAGTGTTTGGTCACTTGGGGTTCTCATAGAAGGGTCCTGAACACTTTATCAAAGAAAGCCTTAGTGGAGTTTAACAGTGAAGTTTCTTATCTATGGAAAATTATAACCCCTTGTTCACCATGGCCACTGACACCCTGAGCCGACAGAAACAACATATCCCGTCATTTCCACAGGACAGGTCCAGAACAGTGAGGCTGGCCCTGTCCTCCACACAGCTGTGGGCAGAGCAGGGCCAGAGTATGAGAAGCTAGGGGAGCCGGGGCCAGAGCTGAGGCATCTGGAGGAGAGGGTGTCCCCGGGGACTGCCATCCTGCTGTGTTCTCAGCCCTCTGGAGTTTAGTCCCCAGGTCTCCCCAACACGCCTACCTCCATAACCAGCTTCTTCTTTACCTTTGTCCTCGGACTACACGATTGATTCATGTCCTTAGTGCTAGGAAAGCAGTTTCATGTCTCCTTATGAGTCATCAAATTGAAGTGAAAACAGAGCCAGACTTATTCAGCTCATTGCCTCATGACAGTGTGACCTTCCACACACACACACTCCTGAGCAAGGAGCTTTTTACGGTTGCCTAAAAACATTTTCCTTTCCAGCAATCTGAACAAGGAAACAGGAATGTCCCTATTCCTCAAGTAAGCCTTACCTCAGCTTCCCAGTAATCATTAGGCTGCTGTATTCTTGGGGGATGGGGTTGAGGTAATTTTAGTTTCACAGCAAAATTGACCCAAAAGTAGAGCACTCCTATATGCACCTGGCCTCCCCCAGTTTGGTTGGTCTTTTAAAGGTCTGTCCAAGCTGTCTGTATTTCCCCTGAAATGTTAGCATTTTCTCAGTGCCCCCCCCCCAATAGACTTTATCTAAGCATTGCTGTTGTTGGGATCTGTTAGGAAGCCCAATTCCTAACTGTGTCTCAGCCCTTTAACTCTGGGATCTCTGTCCCCATCAGTACAGTATGGCAGAACTCACCCAACTGAGACCAAAAGCACATGTGGTTCAGTCCCTGGACCTATGGTCTCTAACTCACCCTAGTTTGAACTGCCCTGAACCAGGCACCAACCTAAGCCTACCAGCTGGGAGGTGAGCACATCCTACCAATGTTCGGATTTAATCAGGACTGAATTCAGGTAGGTGTGCCCCATGCAAGCATCTCTGAATAGAGAAAAGAGATCTTTGAATACCTGTTTTATGATTTCCCTAGACCAATTCCCAGGAAACAGACTGCATTTAGATGCTATTGGAGCTTCAGGAATGGAATTTGAACTTGTGTGAAAGAGAATAATGTAACTTAAATGTCACTCTCTTCCAGGTCCCATATTTAATGTCTCTGTGCATTCAGACACACCGTCAGTCACCCGGGGAGATCTCATCAAGTTGTTCTGTATTGTCACTCTGGAAGGAGCAGTCCTGGACCCAGGTACCTCTCTTCATTCTCACCGTGTCACTTAGATGTAGGGACTAGGGTTTGGATTGTCTGTTGGTCTCCACTTCTCTTAGCCAGGTAGGGTTTCTGTTGCTGCAATGAAACACCATGACCCAAAAGCTAGTTGGGGAGGAAAGGGTTTATTTGGCTTCTTCATTGGAGTCTATCGTTGAAGGAAGTCAGGACAGAAAGTCAGACAGAGCAGGAACCATAGAGGGATGCTGCTTACTGGCTAGCTTCCTCATGGCTTGTGCAGCCTGCTTTCTTGTAGAGCTCAGAGATGGCACCACCCACAATGGACTGGGCTTTCTCCCATCAATCACTAATAACAAAGTGCCTTACAGCTGGGTCTTATGGAGGCATTTTCTCAATTGAGGTTCCCTCCTCTCAGATAACTCTAGCTTGTTTCAAATTGACAAAAGACTAGCCAGGACACCACTTTTCCTGACGTGGTGCTACCTTGGTTCTGTGAGGCCACTTATCTGCTATGAGATTTGAAAACACTTTTCAGGGCAGTCAGTAGATCTCTTTGTGGTTTGCTGTGGCCTAGTTTAAGACCCATTCACAGGGTCCTCCTCCTTCTATATGTCAGACATTCATTGTTCCTGAGCTCCTTCAGTACACAAGAGTGGCTGTAGATGCTGGAAATAGAGCAGTGAACATGTTCAAGGTCTGCCCCAGAGAGCTTGTAGCCTAGTTAAGGACAAAGGACACCCATGGAGAAATATAGGCCAGAAGAATGGCAGCTTTTAGAACTTGTAAGATAGCTCCCTAAAGCCCTTCCTCCCATTGTACTGGAGGTGAAACCTTGCACATGCTAAGCCTGTCCCAAGCCACATCCCTAGCTCTATGAATCTCTTTACAGAAAATATTAGCCTTGCCAACAGATGCCTCAGAATTGTGGGCCCATGCCTCATACAGTTTCTGCTTGGTGCATTTAGCAACCAGGTGATGTCCCTCTCCCATTGGTCTCTCTGGTCTTGAAGGAACACTGAGGCATTAGGGTGTTGTCCCTGTTGCTGAGCAGCACTGTACCCACCTTTGCCTTTCCTCAAAGGTTCTGTGAAGAACCTAGCTTGCTGAGGCCTGCCCTTCTCCCTTATACCCCTTGTGACCCTGACACTGTCTCACCCCACCCCATTCCTATCAAAGTCATGCACTTTGGAACAGCCAAATTGTGTGAGTTCTCATGTGTTTCTCTGTGTAGACCTCTGGAAATATGGCCCTGGGGCAGGCAGGCAGGTCTTGTTCTCTGTGCAGGGGCAGTGTTGATATGCAGGGATGGTGGCCCATGCAGGCCTCACCAGTATCTGGAAGTAATCGACTGAGCAGCCACCACCGTAGGGTGGATCCTGGCTCCTTCAGGACTTCTGTTCAAAGATTCAGGTGGCTACCAGTTCCGGATCTACACATGCTTCCTATGAAGGGAGCAGGAGGAGATAGTGTTTGCTCTGCATGTCAGATGGTCTCAGCAGCTCAGCCCTGCCGCAGTCACAGGGAAGTGGCAGTGAGTGACAGTATGCACAAACAAGCATGGCTGAGGAGAGGAAAACCGTTCATCAGAACAAGGGTGGCTCCGTTTGACCTGCAGGCACGGTTTCCTGATACCAACATTTGCTCTCAAAGGTCCATGTGCTTTGGAGGTGGGAGAAAGGAGTTTGTAGAAGGAAAGGAAAAGAAAGAACCCCAACACACACACACACACACACACACACACACACGGCTGCTTAGCTTGTTCATTGGGATAAGGCATGAAGAGACTAGACTGGCTCTGAGGCGGGCGAGCAGCCCTACTGTACTGAAGCTGGGAAGCATGGAGACACAAAAGTACCTTTGAAAATGGAAATGAAAGAGAGAGAGAGAAGATTGGAGGAAAACACAAGCAAAGCCCTTTAAAAGTTTGCATAGAGCAAGCAGTGTTGTTCAAAGCTCGTTTACAATATATTCAGAAATAAACCGATAGAGTGCCCTTTCTCAGCAAATTAATAGGTCACCAGTTGTACCTTTCATGTAAAACTCTCTTTTCCAGTGTAATTGCAAAAGCTATAGGTAGCTGGTATCTTGTAAATCACTATTTTCCAGAACTTTGCACTTTTGGTCTGTGTGGGTGGAAGATTCTGAATAATTAAACACAAATTGTAATTTCTTCCTTTCTTTCTTTATTCCTTTTTTCATTCATCCTATGCGCTCTGAGAGGGAATTCTCTGTGGGAAAGTTGCATAAGTAGGCCAAGAGCCAAGACACTCCTGTACCAAGGCAGGGTGGGAGCAGCCAAGCGTGGGTGGCGCCACGGTCAGGCTCTGAAGCAAAGCAGAGGGAAGCGTGAGTCATCGAGGTTTCTCCAGAGTGTGCTGTGAGGGCACAAAGGAGTGGAGCCCCCATGACCATGCTAATAGTGCTTGGAGCTGAGGGATGTCAAGGATCTGGGCTTTCATTGTCCAGAGGCTGCGTGGCTGAAGTTAGCACCGTCTTGTAGCCTCTTGGAGGCATTTCTAGCAAGTATGGTGGCTCTGGAGAGGTGTGGTTTGAGAGTGTGAGCATCTGGTACCTGCACCAGTGTGTGTGGTAAGCTCAGCACAACAGCCGTCCTCACGAGGGAACCACAGCCTTGACAACAGATAGTCATGCCCTTCCTCCTATCAACATGTGCTTGTCCCACCATGTGTGGGTATGAAGGCAGTCACTAATTAAGCACTCACTGTGGCCCAGGCATGGTTCTTCCCGTATTTGCCCATGCTGTTAGTAGCACTTTTTTAGATTTGTTTTGTATGTGTATGTCTTGTGTGTCTGTACACAAGTGAGAGTGTGTGTTTTTCTGTCTGCCTGCCTGCCTGCCTGTCTGTCTGTAGAGCCCAGAAGAAAGTGTCAGATTCCCTGGAGTTGGAGTTACAAGCACTTGTTAGCCATCTGACATGGGTGCTGAGAACTGAACCAGGGTCCTCTGCAAGAGCAGTGAGTGCTCTAAACTGCTGAGCCACCTTTCAGTGCCCTATTGCAGTGAACTAACATGGCTTGTTCAGGTCAGGTGGCCAGTAGGTACCGGGGTTCTAGCCCAGGCTCTCACCTTACCTTCCTATGATGCATAGTGGGGAATGAAATAATGGGGACACTTAGGCCTTATCTCTAGTAGCCACTGCAGGCTTGTACCTGACTGCAGAGTTCCCATGGGTAGAAGAGCCTACTGTGCCGGGCACTGAGGGGAAATGAGGCAGTTCACAGCACTCTCCACTCCCACCTGGTCTTACACACTAGGAACTGTTTATGCTGAAGCACGGAATGGGCGGGTGGAGGAGAGGGGTGGTCTGCTTTAGCTGTGAGCTGAGAAGGGATTATCACTTGGACACGTTAGGAAATGCCTACTTTTAGTTCTGCTCACTCTGTCTTACGTGGGTCTGGATAACATTTGTTTGCCTCATAATGTGTTTTCCAAAGTTGCTGAATGAATGAGAGTTATTTTTTGTTGTTCAGCGGAAACTGATGTAAAAAGTCGCGGGCTAGGGGTGTGGCTTACCGGCAGTACACTTGCCCAGCACAGCCCTGTGCTCAGTACTCAGTGGGCTTTTTGTTTGTTTGTTGTTTGAAAAAGGAATCGTCAAGCAGACTTAAGATGTAATTGTGTTTATGCTGCACAGCCCTCACATGCCTTGTGGATGAATTTCTCAGCTCAACAGCTGGTATTGGTTGGTATGGGCAAGGGAGTCTGGGTTTAGCATGTGGCCTCAGTTTCCACATTCTCTTTACCACCTCCTTTCTCTGTTGCCCATCTTAATTCATTTGAGGCTGTTAGAATCTCGGTTCCACCAGCTTGCTCTCTGGGACTATTAACTGTGTTCAATTTTCTCTGCTTGATTTTCCCCCCTCTTGTTTTGAGCTAAAACACTTCTAAAGGGGGAAGAAGAAAAAGAAAAAAAAAAAAAAACCAAACAAACAAAATACTACAATGAAATCCAGACAGTCTACAACTTTAAATTGGTACAGTTCGTTTTATGTCCATTTTGTTCTTTCAACCTTGTGGTTTTTCCAGTCTCCAGTCCTTCTGCTTCAAGTGTCCAGGGCCGCTGCACACCATACCCAGTCTTGACACACAGGACTGTGTGTGGGAGGCAGAGACCCCAAGTCTTCCTCCTGTGGGTCCTTAGAGTGGCGGTGCTTAGGTTGGACACTTTGTCATAAGTTTGCACGCTACTGCCTGTGACTGTGTGGCCTTGCCACAGAGGTGAATGTGACAGTTCGCCATCACAGACTGCTGAGGGTTTGTACATAACAGATCCAGCCTAGATTAAGGGTTATAGACATGGGAGTGTGTACATCACTTCTGCTCATACACTGACCTCCACGCTTTGGCTTGGTAATCCACAGATGACATGGCCTTCGATGTGTCCTGGTTTGCAGTACACTCCTTTGGCTTGGACAAGGATCCCGTCCTCCTATCCTCCCTGGACCGGAAGGGAGTCGTGACTACAGGCCAGAGGGACAGGAAGAGTACTCTCAGCCTGGAGCGAGTGAGCGCACTGGAATTCTTGCTGCAAGTGCATGGCTCTGAGGACCAGGACTTTGGCAACTACTACTGTTCTGTGACTCCGTGGGTGAGGTCACCCACAGGTTCCTGGCAGAGGGAGGCTGAGATCCACTCCAGGCCCATCTTTATAACTGTGAAGATGGATGGTGAGCCCCCTCACTGGGTGTCTGGAGTGCCTTCTTGTGTTTTGCTGCAGCATATAGAATCCAGATTTCCAATAGTTTGGTCCAGCTTGTTTTTTATCTTGGGCCTAGCTCAGGCCAAAGCAGTTTTGCAAGTTCCTCGTTTTGCAGTCCTGGCCTGGTGACACCACTGGGAAAGGATGTTTAGGAGCCTGGGCTCTTCTGTGGGTCTATGGAAACCCACTTCACTGTACCCTAAGGTTAACATGGCTTCCGCCGTGTCCAGGGGAGACTGTAGGTTAAGGAATGACTACTCTTGCCTACCTGCTGCTTTTTGTTGTTGTTGTTGTTGTTTTGGAGTTGTGATCTCATGTGGCCCAAGCTTGTTTTAAATTTACTCTCTTACCCAAGGCTGGCCTTGATCTCCTGATCTTCTCACTTCTACCTCTCCTCACCTCCCCTCACATTATTGGAAAAGCACAGAATTGGGACCTCTTGGAACCCTGAGGTGGGGGAGTGTTTCTTAGCTTTACTGACCCATACCAACCCCACCCCACCCAAACCAACCTAATCAATCAGATCTCTGCCCCTTGAGCATCTCAGAGCTGGACCCTTGTTCCTTTACTCTCAAGAAACCAGTCTGCCCTGTGAAAGCTTCAGAAAGTTACGACACTTGGAACAACTCCATGGAGAGAATTGATTCCAGATGCTACAAGGGTCAGGAGAAGCCTAGACCAAGAGTGTTTCCCTAATAGCAAATCAGTTTGAGGAGAAGAGCCTTCCAACTCCAGCTCCTCCTCAGGTCACTTAGTCATTCTGTTGTGTGACCTTTCTTGGGGAGTGACTTACATAGTCACTGCAGGTGACAACAATAACTATCCAAAGAATTCACCCACATCCAATTTGGTGACCCAATGGGTTTATTGGTGTTACTGTAGTATGGGCAGCATACAGGCAGCTACACTAAAGAGGACCCCCCACCCCCACACTCCCCCACCCCCAACCCCGGCACACACACACACACACACACACACCAGTACAACCACTTGTACACTGGAGTAGAGGGCCTCACACAGGTGGGCACAGTGAGCCCAACTTGAAGACAGCAACAGCCACACGCTGGTCACTGTCCTGAAAAATATGACAGTAGTATCCCATGGGGCTGTTATGAAAATTAGATCACTCCAGACATTAAGGACTTGGGTGGAGGCAGCATCTACACAAAATTCTGGTGCTTAGTGGGAGAGAAGATGGCACTCCCGGGATGGGATCTAAACTTCTGTCATCTCTGCCTCATTTGCATCTTAAACTCTGCTTGAAGGCGCTCCATATGAAAACCCAGATTTACCAAACAAGAAGGGGAGTGATTATTCACTTTGCTCGATAATTTACTATAGTGTTACTTAAAATAGCATCTTTAGTACACTTCAGTTATTTGATGCATAGAATTGATTTATTCAGTTTTTTTTTTTCCTTAAAGGATGCATCTGCTGCTCAATGTGCGGTGCCCTTATACTGACTTTTAAAAATCAATCTCTCTGCCAAAACCCTAAAAAGAAGTTGACATTCAAAGGCATCAAGTAAAATCTCTTTACTGTGTACCCACGGCATGTGCCCAGCTCCGAAGGGATGGGGGGGGGCATGTGCTCATTTCTTCAATAGAGCTGGACCACTCCTTTCTCAGTCCATGCCAGGTGCAGGGTATGGTGGGGGAGGGGCACGATGGAAGGAGGAGCCAGTGCTTCCTAGCGCCCTCCCTCTGGGCAGTAACCCTTCCACTTTCTCTCCCCTGCCCCAGTGCTGAATGCCTTCAAGTACCCGCTACTGATCGGCGTGGGCCTGTCTACAGTCATCGGACTCCTGTCCTGCCTCATCGGGTACTGCAGTTCCCACTGGTGCTGTAAGAAGGAGGTGCGGGAGACTCGTCGGGAGCGCCGCAGGCTCATGTCCATGGAGATGGATTAAGCAGTGGAGCTGGCGGGGCAGAGGGACACTGTAGGAGTGGTGGGAGTGAGAAGAGGACCAGTGATATTTGAAGACAAAGTGTGTTACACTAAAACCAGTCCTCTCTAATCTCAGGTGGGACCTGGCGCTCTCTCTTTTCTGCATGTCAAGTTCTGAGCGCGGACATGTTTACCAGCACACGGCTCTTCTTCCCACGGCACTTTCTGATATGTAACAATCGAGTGTGTGTTTCCCCAGCTGCAGCTTTTTAATGGTTAACCCTGGTCTAATTAGTTTTCTCCTAGCGGTTTCTTGAGCCTCTGATTTGTGTGTGTCAATCACTTTTGATGTGAGGGATTGTGGTGAGGAAAGGTGAAGGTGCTCAGAGTTGGTCATTGTGGGTGAGAGGGTACCTGCTCTCCTGAGAGCCAGCAAGGGGCTGGCATCTGGACAGTTGCTACCTGCTACCCTCCATGGTGGCCCAGAGCTGATGAAGACCTGCGCCAAGGCAAGCTGTGGCTTGCCTACCCTGTGTTGACTACCCTGCCCATCTAACTATGTTAGAACCTAAACTCAGAGTCTATGACTTCTTGATCCATATGCCTCTTGTGTTTCCCCTTGTTCTCTGCCCCCTTCCATTTTCGGGTTTATTTCTGTGAGAGTGAGGAAATGGCAGCCCTGGAGTCTAGAATTTGGCTTTCCACCAAGCACCTTATCTCGCCACCTTAGCCTTAAGAATGAGTATGAAGAAAAATCCACCGCCACCTCTGTCCAGGGCAGAAGGTCTGTGAGCAAGAGGACACTAGAGACAAGGAAAGGAATAGGTGCTCTCCCTCCCTGGTAGTTCTGAGGCCACTGTGCTCCAGGGACCCCAGGGAGAGTAGCACCAGAGGGCATCTGAATGTGCCCTGTCACTTCATGAGAGGCACTGTTGCTGGTTGCCATAGGACCTGCAAGGGAGCCACGGTGTGCTACATCCTTCACTTGCCTCTGGAGCTCCTTCACACAGAAGCAGATTGCTGCCTGCAATACTGACTGACTTCAAGGAATCAGAAATTGCCTAGAGCAAGTGTGCACGTTCCATGACCTTTTCAGTCCTTGAAGTCTTTTTAAGATCCCTGCAGGGGGTAGTGAAGAGGTATGTGTTTTGTGGATGTTTGCCTTCCTATTAGGAATATGTAGGGAACCCAGCAATTTACTGTCATGTGAATGGCTTGTAAAATAGGGTTGAGAGCAGCTGGCTCTGCCTGACTGGGCACAGCAGGAATTAGGACAGTGTACAGAGACACCTTCCAGGTCCCCGGTGCCAGCTCCATCAGAGCCTCAGCCACCCAAAGTCTCTCACTGCCCAGCACAGGCCTTCCACCAGCCTCCCCTGGGTGTCAAGGCTCACCACCAACTGGTACCCTCTTATCCCTTTGGCTCTGAAGGAGTTAACACTATTGTCTTCCAAAGTGTGTGTGAGGGAAGAGTCCTTTGTTTTGAGCAATAAAGTAATACAAGTAGATGGCCATTCACATGCAGCTCTTTGTCAGCAAGGGCCAGCATGAGCTGAGCCCCCTCCTTTGTGTTCACCACCCTGCTCCTGTGATGAGGTCTGAGCTGGTGGGTCCAGCCCACATAGGGTCCAAGTTTAAAGTCAGTAGCAAGAAGAGAGACAGCAGTTGCACCCCACCCAAGCAAGAGGCGGGGGGCTTGGAAGATATGGATATTTCTATATGTCACTTCCTTACTGCTAGTTCAAAGGTGGGGTACAGGTGTCTGTACAAACAGGAATTAGAGGAGCAGAACCAGGTACTTCATTAGTAGCAGCCTTTGAACCCTGCAGTTACTGAAGAAGATTCAGGGCCATTGTAGTGCAGCCTACCTTTCCCTTTCTCAACTGGTGTTGAGATTTGAGCCTGAATTGCTGAGGCTCTGGCCATCCATCATCTACTGGCCATGCCTAAACCCCCAAGCTGCTTAAGGCTGGGAGAGGGGCCAGAAACCCCAGGACCTAGTTCCTTTTGGGACTATCAACATTCTGGGATGTAAGTCTTTTTAAGTGTGGTCAAACACTCTTAATGTACCAAATAGGGTTCCCCATGAAGTGCTCATCCTGAGCATCCCCCTCTACCCCCCAGTACTGGTGTACAGAAGAGAAGGCTGAGCCAGGCCTTGGCAGGTAAAATTGCACTTCTTAAAGAGAAACTTTATAGAAGGTTAGGTTTTCTTCCCCTAATTGCAAACCCCCCCTCCTCCCCCCCAAAGAGCCTAAGCTACATTCAGATTGAAGCCTAGAAATTACTTTAAATTGTTTACTTTATGATGTTTACACACACGATTCACTTTTTTAAAAAATAAGAAAAATACAAACTCTGGCTTTTTAACAACTTTTCAAATTTTTCATGCATGGGATATGCTGGCACCCTGACTCACCAGCTGGATTAAATCCTCATTTAGAAATGTCCCGATGTGTGTGTCTTCCCCTCCCAGCCACACGGCTCCCTCCTGCCCAGACCTCTGTCTGTTTCTCTGGTGGCTTTTGCCTCCTGCTTTGCAGACTGCCTGCAGCCATGATTTTGTTACGGCATCTATGAGCCAAAGACTGCGCCCTTGGAGCAGGAACAATAAGCAATACTACAGACTCGCTACTTTCGGGGGAAATGTTTTTTTTGTTTTTAGCTTCACTGATGACAACAAGGAAGAAGGGAACTAGGGTTTAGGTAAGTTCTCCTCCGATGTGTGACCATTCTCAGTGACACACATGTGTGCGGGTCACTAGGAGAACAAGGTTGGGTTTCTTTTCTAGAGTATAACACGAGGATCTGCAGACTTTTCCGTAGACAAGAGAAGGTCTTGTGTATTTTTGTCCGTATCCAATGTTATACAAACTAATTGTGTTGTTTTATACTGTGGCCACAAATATTATGCAATGCACCATTTGTTTTTGTTTTTTATTTCATTAAAGGAAGTTTAATTTAAATTGAAGTGGTGTGAGGAAGTTGATATCGGCTTCTGTGGACTCTCCTCTCACCAGCAGGAGGAACTGTGGCTAATTCCAGGTGCAGTGTCAGTACCCTTTGATTTCTTTCAATCCTGTAAAAGCATTGTCAGGCTAGCGAGGTGGCTCGGTCAGTAAAGTCCTTGCCTTTCGAGCTTAGGGACCCCAACACAATCCTCTGAATCCATAGGAGGTTTGTTTTTTTTGGCCGGGTGGTTGCTGAAGAAATGGCTCAGTGGTTAAGAGGACTAGTCGCTCTTGCAAAGGACCCCAGTTCAATTCCTAGTACCCACATGGTGGCTTATGTCAATTTGCAACTCAGTTCTAGGGGATCTAATGCCCTCTTTGGACTCTGGTGGGCATTGTGTACACATGTGGTGCACGTACCATGTGGTGCAGGCAAAACACTCAAACATAGAATAAATTTAATATATTTATATGAAGCGGGGCATGGTAGCACACACTTCTAGTACTAAGAAACTGGTGGGGACAGATGGTTTCCTATCCAGTGAGAGACCCTGCCTCAAAAAAAAAAAAAAAAAAAAAAAAAAAAAAAATTTTTTTTTTTTGGACAGCAGTAGGGGTTATAAGACGTACACATGAAGAGAGACAGTGCTGTAGATTTTGACCTCAATGAAACATCTGCGTTTCATAGAATCCATTAGGGTTCTCTATAGGGACATTACATAAAATCAATACACACATACATATATAGGGCAGATTTATTAGACTGGCTTAGGTTGTGCTCCAGCTAGTCCAACAAATGGCTGTCTACAAACAGAAGGTCCAGGGATCCTGAAGTTGTTCATCTTGAAGTAGGATGTCTCAGCTGGTCTTTGGTTTGTGAAGGAAGAAATAGGCTCTAATGCCAGTGAAGGAATGGACTTGGCAGCAAGAGCAAGCTTCCTTCCTTCATGTCCTTATACAGGCTGCTCCCAGAAGGCATGGCCCAGATTAAAAGTGGATCTTTCCACCTCAAAAGATCTGGAGTAGAAATAGGCCTTCCCATTTCAAATGGTTTGATTATGAAAACAATCCCTCACAGGTGTGCCCAAAAGCTTGGGTTTTAGTTGTAGATGTAGTCAAGCTGGCAACCAAGATTAGCTGTCACATCCATGATGAGGTCCCCAGCGAGCAGAAAGGTGTAGGGCATGGGACCTTGTTGCTCCGGGCCCTCTTTTGCCTCTGCTGAATTCCCATGACCTTTAGAAGTCCCTTTCAGGAAAGAGAAGTTAGAAACCATTCCTCTCTGCAGATGAGGAAACACATATACTCTGTGACCAGGTTGAGACTGGAACAGGTTGTTTTTCTGACTAGGCACCAGCCTCTGCGACATTAAAACCACAAGGTTCCCCCTGCAGATAGGGGCAGGAGCAGATGCCAGTAGCTCCTCCTGCACTGTTCCAGCTCAGCGGACACCCACAGCCCACCTCCCGGACTGGCGCTTTGTAACCTGCATTTCTGTGTCCCATTTAGTAACCACCTCATGTGACTTGCTCAGAAGGGGGTGTACAGCAGTCACTCACACCCTGCAGTTAAAAATGATCTGCTGTCAAATGGCCTGTCCTTCCATCCCCTCTAGTCCATACACTGATGCAGGCGGGGCCTGGCTCGGACAACCCTTTACTGTTACTTAAACGGTTCCTTCTCAATGTCAAAAGCAAAAAACAAACTTTTTCTCATACACCTGCCATATGCTCAAGCATGGATGAGGCTGGCCACCTGCCACGGGCCTGCTCCTGGGCCTTTTCTCATACTGGCTTCTGCAGAAATCCAACTTGTACTTCTCCAGACTCCAGGGATGCAGCCTTACCAACTAGGTCTAAGAGGCTGCCTGGCAGATGTTCTGATAGTCTGAAAGAAACTTGAGGACTGGGCAACTGTAGCTCTGGCCAGCACTCTTTTGATATGCCCTGCATTGGGACAGTTCCCACATCAATGTGGTCTCATCTTCTGGTCACCCTGAGGAGCTCCAGCACAGGTTCTTGAATGGCAGCCACTCTGCTTCCTGTAAGTACAGTGCTTATGGGATGCTGGAGTGATAGCTGTGTGATGATTTGGGTATGACGGGACCACCACACCAGCAGTGGCTGCCATTAAGATGCTTGTACCCACAGATGGTATTGGAGGGCCATGCTTGCACCATACTTGGAGGTCCTGTGGGATAACACATCAGTGAGGTGAAAGTTTGTAAAATGGGCACAATCACAGAAGGGGTAGGCTTCAGAGAGGTTAGGCACAATCCTGCCAGCCTGTTTGGGGCAGAGGCAGGTGGATCCCTGTGAGTTTGAGGCCAGTCCTGGAGTTCCAGGACAGCCAAAGCTTCACAGTGAAACCCTGTCTCAAAAAAAGAAAACAAGAACAAACAAGCAAAAAAATGACACACACAACACATTGAAAGTCTGAAAGGAAAACGAGCTCTCCATATGAAGTGCGGGTTCCACTGAGGTCCTGCTCTATTGCTCACCCAAGTCCTCCCAATTCTATGCCTTTGCAAATACCTGGGGCCAGTAGGACTGGTTACTATGTTTATCTAGAGTCCTTTGATGGTTGGGGAAGCAATGGAATGTCAGGTCAGAGTGTTATCAAAGCATGCTGGTAAGACTGGATATAATGATAAAAGCTTTAAAAAAAAAAAAAAATCCCAGGAGAAAATGTGGGGAAATGTTCAGAACTTGGGATTTGATAATTATTTCTTGGGTATGACAACAAAAATGTAAGTAGCAACATCAAAAATGAACAAATGGAACCATATCAAATGTTAAAATGTGCTTGCGTCAAAGGAGAAAATATTTACACATCATATATGTGATACAGGGTTGATATTCAGACTGTGTAAAAAATTTGATTATTGGCTGGGTAGTAGTGGCACACGCCTTTAATCCCAGCACTCAGGAGGCAGAGGCAGGCCAATCTCAGTGAGTTCAAGGCCAGCCCGATCTACAGAACTAGTTCCAGGACAGGCTCCAAAGCAATACAGAGAAACCCTGTTTTGAAAAACCAAAAAAAAAAAAAAAAAGGAATACATACAAATGAGAAGATAATGCCCACATCACTGCCCATAACACAGCAGGAGATGTCAGCTGACATGTATTAGGATGGCCACTCTTAAAAAGAAAGTGCCTGGTGTTATTCTTGTGCAAGAATGCAAGGGCCAGGGGTGGTAAAAGAGATGGCTCAGTATTTAAGGGCACTTGGTGTTCTTACAGAGGACTCAGCTTCTAACATCCACATTGGGTGACTCACAAATGCCTGTAACTCCAGAGGATCCAATGCCCTCTTTTGACTGTGTACATCCATGTGCATGTGTACACACACACACACACACACACACACACACACACACACACACACACACACACCATGTAAGTGAAAAATCTTAAAAAGAAGCAGAAAAGTTGGAATAAGCTGTGTTGGTGTAGATGTAAAGTACAGCCATTATGCAAAATAGTATGGAGGTTCTTCAAGAGATTAAAAATAGACCTGCCAGATGATTTAGCATTCCCACTTCTGGGAATATGTCCTAAAAAATATGTTCTTAAAGCAGTGTCTCCAAGAGACACATATGTTCATTATAGTCACAATAGCCAAGAGGTAGAAGCAACTTGAATTTCCATCAGCAGATGAATGAGTAAACAAAATGGAATATTGTTTAGCCTTTAAAAAGGAAACCGGAGGGCTGGGTATACATATATGGCTTAGTTGGTAAAGTACCGTGCAAGCATGAGGTTCGGATCCTGGGCACCATGTAGAAGCTGGGCATGGCAGCATGTGCCTGTAATCCCAACACTGGGAAGGGACTTTCTGGCTACGGACCCAGATGAAGCAGCCAGCTCCACTGTAAGTACCTCAAAGAATAAGTGGGAGAGTGATCAAGGAAGATCCGAATTGCTTCCATGTGCATGTTTCTTCTCACACAGGTGCATGGGACTGCCTTCCCGCAACACCGAAATACAAAGGTAGACAGACAGACAGACATCCTTGAATATGCTACAACATGATTGAACCTTAATGACATTACACCAGGTGAAATAAGACAGATACAAGAACTATTGTGTTGGATTCCTCACACAGAGCATCTAAAGCAGTCAGAAATCAGGGCAACAAAAGGGCTGCAGAAGAATTGGGGGGCGGGGTTGTATAAAAACACGGAAGGGCTCACTGCTCCCATGGCACCACAAATATTTTTTTTAAAACTTCTTCCACATTAGTGGTTTGCGTCCTGCAAGGCAGTAGTGGGATGCGGTGTCCAACCCTCGTGATCATGGAACTTGGAAGGCCGAGGCACAGGCATTGCCAAGAGTTAGTTTAAGGTCAACATGTTCCACATAGAGAGTTTGAGGGTGGTCGGGGCTATGTATCCCTAGAGTGGCTTGACACTGGGGCAAAAAGGTGGAAGAACAGGCCTGGCAAGGTGGCTTGGCAGGCTCAGATACCTGCTGCCAGGCCTGAGTACCTGAATTCAGTCCACAGAACCCACTGTGCAAGCAGCAACCACGTGAGTGCTATGACACGTGTGCACCCCACCAACACACATACAAATGCATCTTTAAAAAGTTTTTAAGTTGGCTGTGTAGTACAATGGTCACTTGAACTTTGCAAACTTAGTAAGCTGCAACAGATGGGTATTTGTCCCTAAAGGGTGGGTACGGGAGCTTCCTGTCCCAACTCCTTCCTCCTATTTAGGACCTATTCTGAGTGTCTTCTCTAAACTGTTCATCAAAGCCGATTGTCAATCAGGAAGTCTGTGGAGTCGCCCTTCCCTGGGGAATGTTCGTTCACTTAGCAAGAAGAAATGACCTAGGAATCCCTGGTGTGACTCCTTCCTTTCTTCTTTGGGAAGCTAAGTATATCTCCAGCTCTCCACCCACAGTGCTCACCCTGCTTCTGTGCCAAGTCCTAGCCTTTGCCTTTGCCCACAGGAATTCAGTCTACACTTTGAAAACTTCTTCAGCCTTATAGTAAATGTATTGATGGGGCCA